AGAGAGGTCCACATGTAGTACCTATATATATATAGTATCAAAGCAATTGCAATTAGGTTTTTAACAAGAAGTCGAAAATATCACTTTTTACCAAAAATGACAAAAATATTCACCAAAATTAGAGAATTAAAGATATCATTACAAAATGAACAAATCTGAGAGAGGTCCACATGTAGTACCTATATATGTAATATCAAAGTAATTGCACTTGCGGTTTTTAACAAGAAGTCGAAAATATCACTTTTTACCAAAAATATTCACCAAAATTAGAGAATTGAAGATATCAACATGAAATGAACAAACCTAAGAGAGGTCTACCCAAGGTACATATACACCAAGTATCAAAGCATTCAGGCTTGTAGTTTTCAAGAAGAAGTCGAAAAAGTAAAACATTGACACAGACGACGGACAATCACTCATATGATAAGCTCCGCTCGACAAAGTCGACAGCGGAGCTAAAAAACAAGATTCATAATGAAATGTCTGTGTGAGTAAAATTTTTTGTGAATGAGTGCATTCAAATATTAGCAGAGAATCTTACATAGACATTGAAATATTTACATTATTATGTCTGACATTTCTGCACTGCGTAGCAGGAATCCATTATGAGTAAAAATGACACCAAGTTTGAATAAGACTGGACAATTCAGGTACACCAGAAAAATGATTGATGTCATGTTTAAACAAATATGCTTATGAATACTATGTCTTTGTACCAACTTAGAACAAAATTGGTCAAGGTACATACCATGAAAATGGTTTAAAGACCCATGATAATACATGTATAACCATAATGGCTGTCAGTCGGCCATTTCAAATCTAATGAAAATCAAAGAAAGCTTAGGAAGACTCCTGTGTGCTGAGAGTATTGAAGACACATTAAAAATTAATTCAAAATTACTTGTACCTGAGATATTGATGGAAAAACTGAAAACTAATTATGTAAATCAGGTAACTAATATGAACAGAACAGAACAAAAAAATTATGAATTATTATGCTAATTAGAGAATTAATATGAACAAATTTTAACCCAAAATTAATCTCGCCTGTCTATTGTCCTAGAGTATTTATGTACCAAATTTTATTCAAATGTGATGATCAGTAATTGAGATATTAATTATGTTAATTAGGTGATTAATAAGCATAAATATTTACAAAAAACTAATTGGGTCTCTGCATAGTTCTAGATTCATTGAATTGAGTACTCTTTAAAAGTTTCATTAAAATCCAATTCGTGGTTCTTTATATATCAGTGGAACATTCATAGAAACAATTAACTAATTATGCAAATTAGGTAATTAATATCCACAATTATTTACCCTAAAACTAACCAGGTCTCTGCATAGTCCTAGAAGATCTATGTGGCGAGTCTTATTGAAATATGATGATTAGTACTTGAGATATCAGGCAAAAAGCTGAAAATTAACTAATTATGCTAATAAGGTAATTAATATGCACAAATATTTACCCAAAAACTAATAAGGGGTCTGCACAGTCCTTAAATAACTATGTACCAAGTTTCATTGAAATGTGATGATTACTACTTGAAATATCAAAAGCTGAAAATTAATTAATTATGCAAATTAGGTAATTAATATGTACTGATATTACACTAAAAACTATCAGGTCTGTGCAGTGTCATATGACATCTATGTACCAAGTTTCATTGAAATGTGAAGATTACTACTTGAAATATCAAAAGCTAAAAATTAATTAAATATGGAAATTAAGTGATTAATATGCACTGATATTACCCAAAATACTATCAGGTTTGTGCAGTGTCCTATGACATCTATGTATCAAGTTTTATTGAAATGTGATGATTAGTACTTGAGATATCAGTGGAAAAGCCGAAAATTGATTAATCATTATGCAAATTAGGTGATTAATATTGCACAGATTTTTACCCAAAACTAATCAAATCTGTGCATTAGTTTGGAGCATCTATGTGCCAAGTTTCATCAAAATCCAATGAGTGGTTCTTTGGATATCAGTGGAACAGTCATGGAACAGCTAAAAATCAGCTAATTATCATGCAAATTAAGTAATTAATATGTATGGCTTCTTACCAAAACCGAATCAAATCTGCACATTGGCCCAGAGCATCTATGCACAAAGTTTCATCAAAAAACAATGTATGGTTCTTGAGATATCGATGGAACAGACACACACAGACAGACAGACAGACAGACAGACTAACTGCAAAGACTCCCATTTTGTGTTTCACACACAGGAGTCAAAAACTGACATCTGTAAACCTCATGTTAGGGAGCATAAAGCATGAACACAATACAGTTAGGCATATAGGCAAGATAGAACCTGGATGCAGCACAGTTAGGCAAGATAGAACCTGGACGCAGCACAGTTAGGCAAGATAGAACCTGGACGCAGCACAGTTAGGCAAGATAGAACCTGGACGCAGCACAGTTAGGCAAGATAGAACCTGGACGCAGCACAGTTAGGTAATATACATACCTTTTTATATGCAATAAATTCTGCTGGACTGCACAAGCTTGTAAAGCTGTTGAGTTAGGCAACAATGTGAACAGACGAACAAAGTTGTTTTCCAAAAAAGCTTTACTTAAATCAAGTGCAAACTTCATGTCCTCGTGAATCCTGGAGTTAAAAGAAAAACATTTTGATGAAATCTTAATGTATGTACATTTTAAAGAGTTTAAAGTGAGGTAGTCGTTGTGCCATGCATGTGCGACATTTGTGTTGATAAACATTGCATTTCCCATAATCCAGTGCGCTTTTCTAATGAAATCACGAGCATGAGGTTAGCCCTGGGTGCCACTTGTACTAATTCTTGCAGGCGGCTCCTTCAATACTTTCCAATCACCAACAAATTAATTTTGGTAAGCTGTTACTATGTGTCAGCACTAGCACTTGCAATTTGCACATACAGAAAAAAAAAAGTCAGAAGAGACAACAGTGACACTCGATGTCCGGAACTGTCGCCTGGCACAAAAAAATATATATATAAAAAAAAAAAAAGCTCTCAGTGTGCACTAGCTGGTGTGCGCAACAGTCAAAATCACCACCTTTGTTTATATGACACCATATCTCGCGCATGTGCAGCACGGCGACTACCGCTCTTTAACCGTATTCTTCTACCAACAACATTTATTATTTTATAGTCTAGAATTATACGGTGTTCCATTTACAGTACAACAATATAGCCTAGTTCCATAGAATCATTTCTGTTTCGTCATTGTAAAAGTGTTGTGGGAATCAATGCAACTCATTCCGTAATTTAAATTCAACCAAAGATGACGTACTATTCCACCAAAGATGACGTACTATTCCCCCTAATTTGGCACATGGTAAAACGAAAATTGGATTTTGTGAGCTGAGTACCCTGGGTGATCAGACAAGTATGGTAACTAAAGCCTAGAATTCATATAGTGTTCCACTCATATCACTCTCGCCTAGAATTCATAGTGTTCCACTCATATCACTCTAGCCTAGAATTCATATAGTGTTCCACTCACATCTCTCTAGCCTAGAATTCATATAGTGTTCCACTCGCATCTCTCTAGCCTCGAATTCATATAGTGTTCCACTCATATCACTCTAGCCTAGAATTCATATAGTGTTCCACTCACATCTCTCTAGCCTAGAATTCATATAGTGTTCCACTCGCATCTCTCTAGCCTCGAATTCATATAGTGTTCCACTCATATCACTCTAGCCTAGAATTCATATAGTGTTCCACTCATATCACTCTAGCCTAGAATTCATATAGTGTTCCACTCACATCTCTCTAGCCTAGAATTCATATAGTGTTCCACTCATATCACTCTAGCCTAGAATTCATATAGTGTTCCACTCACATCTCTCTAGCCTAGAATTCATATAGTGTTCCACTCATATCACTCTAGCCTAGAATTCATATAGTGTTCCACTCATATCACTCTAGCCTAGAATTCATAGTGTTCCACTCATATCACTCTAGCCTAGAATTCATAGTGTTCCACTCACATCTCTCTAGCCTAGAATTCAGTGTTCCACTCACATCTCTCTAGCCTAGAATTCATAGTGTTCCACTCACATATCTCTAGCCTAGAATTCATATAGTGTTCCACTCACATCTCTCTAGCCTAGAATTCATAGTGTTCCACTCAGATCTCTCTAGCCTAGAATTTATAGTGTTCCACTCACATCTCTCTAGCCTAGAATTCATAGTGTTCCACTCACATCTCTCTAGCCTAGAATTCATAAAGTGTTCCACTCACATCTCTCTAGCCTAGAATTCATAGTGTTCCACTCACATCTCTCTAGCCTAGAATTCATAGTGTTCCACTCACATCTCTCTAGCCTAGAATTCAGTGTTTCACTCACATCTCTCTAGCCTAGAATTCATATAGTGTTCCACTCACATCTCTCTAGCCTAGAATTCATATAGTGTTCCACTCACATCTCTCTAGCCTAGAATTCAGTGTTTCACTCACATCTCTCTAGCCTAGAATTCATATAGTGTTCCACTCACATCTCTCTAGCCTAGAATTCATATAGTGTTCCACTCACATCTCTCTAGCCTAGAATTCATAGTGTTCAACTCGCATCTCTATAGCCTAGAATTCATATAGTGTTCCACTCACATCTCTCTAGCCTAGAATTCATAAAGTGTTCCACTCACATCACTCTAGCCTAGAATTCATATAGTGTTCCACTCACATCTCTCTAGCCTAGAATTCATATAGTGTTCCACTCATATCACTCTAGCCTAGAATTCATATAGTGTTCCACTCATATCACTCTAGCCTAGAATTCATAGTGTTCCACTCACATCTCTCTAGCCTAGAATTCATAGTGTTCCACTCACATCTCTCTAGCCTAGAATTCAGTGTTCCACTCACATCTCTCTAGCCTAGAATTCATAGTGTTCCACTCACATCTCTCTAGCCTAGAATTCATATAGTGTTCCACTCACATCTCTCTAGCCTAGAATTCATATAGTGTTCCACTCACATCTCTCTAGCCTAGAATTCAGTGTTTCACTCACATCTCTCTAGCCTAGAATTCATATAGTGTTCCACTCACATCTCTCTAGCCTAGAATTCAGTGTTCAACTCGCATCTCTATAGCCTAGAATTCATATAGTGTTCCACTCACATCTTTCTAGCCTAGAATTCATATAGTGTTCCACTCACATCTCTCTAGCCTAGAATTCACAGTGTTCCACTCACATCTCTCTAGCCTAGAATTCATAGTGTTCCACTCACATCTCTCTAGCCTAGAATTCATATAGTGTTCCACTCACATCACTCTAGCCTAGAATTCATAAAGTGTTCCACTCACATCTCTCTAGCCTAGAATTCAGTGTTCCG